AGCTATGTGAAAGTCCATGCACAGACTGTTGGTTCTGTGGCCATCAAGCCAAGTAAGCTGATTACATAATGTGGGATGGCTGAGGTTATAATGAAAATAAATTTTCTAGATTTATGGACTAGTATGCTATGTAATATGGGTAATAAGGAAGATAAGATGGATGGCTGGTGGAAAATTTATATTCCCCCAAATACTATAGGTACCTTTAAAAAGGTCATAAAAGGGCCCCCTGGCCATGCAGGCAGTTGGTTAGAGTGTCATCCCAATACGCCAAGGTTGCAGGTTTGATCCCTTGTGAGGGCACGTACAAAAGTAAACCAATGAATGCATAATAAGTGGAACAGCAAATCAGTGTTCCTCTCTCCTCTAAAAAAAAAGTCATAAGGGTAGAATTTAGAGTTCTTCAGGAAAAAAAAAACACAACAACATTCTTAAATGACTTAGTTCTTTAAGTCTAGCTCTAAATCATTTGAAATACTGTGTCTGTCGTGCCGGAAACAGTGTTTAGGTAGTTGAACCCTTGGGTTGACCTTGAGGAATTTACAGTCTGGGGAAGCAGGAGCTACCTTAATGAATTAGTTACAATATTAAGCAATGCTTAGGGGAGTGATAGGTAAGGAAGGAGAAAATGGAGCAGTCCCAGTAATTAGAGAAAACCTTCTGGAGTTAGAATTTGATTTGAAAACTAACTTGGTACAGAGAGAATGACTAAGAGGTGTTGGCTCTAAAATCAGATTTCCTGAGTTTGAATCCTGGTTCTACCACTTAGCTGTGTGATCTTGGACATGTCAGGAACTCTATCTCAGTTTTTTCATCTATAAAATGGGGACAAATTTATTGAACCATGTATTAAGCATTGTTAAAATGCTTCTCATATATTAACTTCATTTAATCTTTATTGCAACCCAGATGCATTAGGTATTCCTAAACCTATTTAATAAATGGATAAATTGAGGCTGTAGGTTAGTAACTTCTTAAAATCACATGGTTAGAAAGTAGTGGATCAAGGACTTGAATTATTGAGGACTTTGCTTGTAATCATTATGATAACACTACTGTTGGAAGGATCAAATGAGGACATGTTACCAAGTGTAGGGCCTCATACGTAGTTACTGCTCGTTACGTGCTAGCTATCTCTAGAAATGAGTTAGAACATTCTAGGGAGATTGAGATGGCCTAGTGGAGCACACAGCTGAGCAAAGGAATTTGGATGTAGATGTGAGGGCAGTACATATGAGTAACAGTGAAGGCAGTGGCTTTTGTAATGCATGTGGCACCTAGGAGTGGTGTAGGTCAGTAGACCACACCAGTTGTGGCCACCTCTAGTCTCAGGCAAACACTGTTCAGTGTCTTAGGATCAGATTCACATGGATATGGATGAGAAAGATAATGAGCCTGCAAAGATAATGAGGCTAAGAGTGTGTAGCAGGAAATGGGATTGGAAGTGTAGGTAGCTTGCTTAACTGGCCTAGTGGCTGCCTCTGAACCTCTTGGAGAATAGTGGTTTTTAATTTGAGCCCTTATTAGACCAATAACTCATTTCTGGATCAGAAACCAGAGTTATTTATTAGGTGTATAAACTATATTTACCCTAAGGGTATGAAATTAACACAGATTGCCTATTCATATTTGAGTGGTTTTCACTGACACCACCAGTGTTTCCCTCCCTCATTTGGATCCCTCATTTTCCTATCAACAGTCCAGGTTCCAGGTTCTTTCATCCCTTCAAGATCTGCAGCCAGAATATTTAATTATGTTGGACTGTGACAGAACATCAGCTTTCTAAATAGCTTTGGACAAGTCACTTTACCTTTCAGAGGCTTGGTAACGTACTTGATCAGGAAATTAATCAACAAAATGGTATCTAAATGTTTCAGCAAGGTGCTTTTAAACATCCCATTCAATCTTATTTTTTATAGTTGAGATGGTAAGATAGAAGATTTGGACTAGATGTCTTTAGTTAAAACTTTAATGGAAAAAAACCCCAACGAAACCTTTAATGGTTTTTAAGGGACAAATATTAAGCTTTTTTAGTACTCGGTAAACGACAGTTGGTTAGATGAACATTATGGAAATACTCGAGCTATAAATCTTACTACCTAAAGCTTTGTTTTGCAGCTTTTGTCAAGATGGTAATCCTGGTGATGAAAAGCTGTAGCATAGGTTTTACCCCTTGACTTTTGGGTACTTTCTTGTTTTTCGTAATAAGTATCCATCTTCTTAAGCTGATATGAACTGAAAATTCAGTCATTTCTTTCGTTTCGGTTATCAAGAAGTTAACTCCTGCATTCATTCATCCATTTGTTAACTTAGTCAATAATAAATATGAGTGCCTACCATTTGCCAGGTGCAAATCTAACACTGAGGACATAGGGAATAAGAAAAGGTCCTGTCGCCCTGGCTGGTTTGGCTCAGCGGTTGGAGCATCAGTCCAGGACCAGAGAGGCCGGGGTTCAGTTCCCGCTAAGGGCACGTACCTCGGCTGCATTTTGTCACCGGCCCCGGGTTGGGGTTGTGTGGGTGGCAACAACTGGATGTATCTCTCTGACATCGATATTCTCTGTCTCCCTTCCTCTCTCCCTCCTGCTCTACGTGAAGATAAAAGCAAAAATGTCCTCGGGTGAGGATAAAAAAAATAAAAGGTCCTGTCTTTGTAGAACAAGTATTTTCTTGGGATTGGGTGGGAGGTGGGCAGAAAATGAATGAACAAGTAGAATTTCAAGTGGTGGTAAGTATTTGGAGAAATAACATGGAGTCATAGGATAGAGTGCCAAGGTAGGATTGGAGTAGGGGTGTATCTTCAGATAGGTGGATGGACAGTGAAGGCCCTGGAGAAGGAACATTACAGTCTGAGCTTAGGACAAAAGCCATTGTGTGCTGGAGCATAGTTGGGGGTGGCGGTGAGGAGTGGTGCGGGGAAGTGGGGAGGGTTGTTAAAGAGATTGGGAGATTCTGGCAAGAACCAGATTGGGTAGGGTGAATTTGAAAATTTACTAATTGCAATGGGTTTTAAAAAGTGGGGGGATGCCCTGGCCGTTTTGGCTCAGCGGTTAGAGTGTTAGCCCGAAGACCAATGAGTCACGGGTTCGATTCCGGTCAAGGGCATGTACCTTGGTTGCAGTTCATCCTGGTCCTGGTCCTGGTCCTGGTCTGGGTCGTGCTGGAGGCAACCAGTTGATGTGTCCCTCTCATGGAGATGGTTCCCTCCCTCCCTCCCTCCCTCCCACTCTATCTGAAGGTAAATAGAAAAATATCCTCGGGTGAGGATTAAAAAAAAAAGGCAGGGAGATTTAATGTGTTTACTCAATTGGATGACCTTCCAAAACGAAAAAATATAACTGGACCTAGAGAGCTTTCAGAAGGTAAATCGAGTAATTGGGTTGGGAGATGGGCTTAGGTAGTGGTCTGCAAACTGGCTTAATTTGTGATTCCCAGAACATTTATATCCCCAGTCTCCTGTAGACTTGGAGAGATTTCCTAGTTACATAGAGGGAGTTGATCCTCTCTTTGGTATTTTGGAAGAAAGTTTATGTCCAGGGCTGTTGGGTCACAAAATATTTTGGAAGAGCAAACTGAAAGGTGCTGAGAGGATTTCTTTACCAGATGTTTTTCCCTGTCCAGATGAGTTGTGACCACCACCTTATGCTGGCCACCTCCAGAGGGTGGGCACATGAGCAGCTGACTAACATGGAATTGCTTTTCTTCATCACTGATCATATGGCCTTTAGTCTCAGTATCAGCATCACAGTCCACAATGAAAATGGACCATTAGTGACCATCACATGTGTAAATGTTGCAGTTTAGGGTTTTTAGGTCGTTCCTTTTTCCCATTCTAGAACAAGTCATTGACCAGTTTTCCACCATTTGATTTCAGAGTCATGTCAAGTTTTAAAACTCCTTTCCATAACCTTGCTTCACCTTTCTCTCTTTGACCCCACCTTCACCCCTTTTTGGGGGACTGGTTTGGACAATATGTTCTAGATCCCTTTCCTCATAAATAATTCACTGATTTTTATCCTTTTAAGTGCATGTTTTATTTAAGTTCTTCACTCAGTATTTGTCCTTACCCTTTTCAATTCCCTGTTCAAAAGCTGCCTTGCGAAGGTGTCATTGCTTGCTCAATGAATATGGGGTTATGTGAAGAAGCCAGAGGATGAGAAAGAAAATGTGATGAGGGAACTAGATCCTCTGAAGAATGATGTTTTGATTGTATTTTGTTTGTAGTTGGTTGTGATTAGCCTCTTCTCTCGAAGGTCCGAAGGTCCGTTCTAGGAGTTGAAACCTGCAGCTCTGGCTGATGGCGCCTAATAAAATAAAACAAAAAAACTTTTCTGCTCCAGTTTTTTCTCAGGGCAGGGTGGGGTGTTTTCTCAATTTCCATGGCTACAAACACAGAAGCAGCTTCTTCATCTTGGATTCCAGGAGGCTGGGGAACTTGTCCTCTCAGCGCCTCCAGAGTGATTCAGCCCCAACCAGGCCGACTTTGAGATCGTTACCCCCTAATTGAAGCTGTGTCCATTAATCGTTTAGCTAGTTCCTTTTATTACCACCTATGAAAAGAGTTTTAATTTGAGGGAGCTCCGGGACTCCCAGGGCTACAGTATGGATTGTTGGTCAAAGGAGGTTGATTTAAGGTGAAACGCTTCGCTATTTTTCTTACCGACTTTGGGGATCTGCAAAAAGCTGTCGTCCGCAGCATCCTGGCTGCGTGGGGTGTTCTGGGAGGTTAGAGGGGTAATTTTGGAGTAGAAGGCAAAAACAGCGCGGAATGCTGTCAGGGTGTGCACATGGAAGTGGCGAAATGAAGCTTAACAAAGTTGGCGCCATGAAGCTAAAGACCGCTACACCTGGGCCCCGACTCGTTCCGCTTAATGGCGGGTCGAACCCCGCCAGCGAAGCCCACGTTTGTAGTTCCTCCCCGCAAGCCAACCTCTTACCCAATCAATGACTTCGGCTTCGCGAGATTGGTGCTCATTGGCTTTCGCAGAAAAGCTCGGGGTTACTGACGTTTCCACCTCTTCCCGGCCTCTCAGGTAATTGGCGTTCATGACAACCAGTCAGGAAGAGGATCTGCGCGAACGCCTGCCTTTTACTTTACTGAACGGCCAATCCGGTGGTAGGCTCACCTCCCCCTCTCTACCCAGAGTCACTGCTGCGACTGCCGCCATTTTAGCGTTTTGTCAGAAGCATCGGCACCGTGAGGAAGAGTTCCTGCAGATTTCTGTGCGGGTGAGAGACTCCGTCCCCCTCCACTGTCTTTATTTTGCTCTGTTAAATCCTATTTTGCTCTGCTAAATCTTATCTCACTCCCTTGGGCTATTCTAGTGGGGTCGCGGCCTCCGTACCGGTAACTGAGAACCGATTTCGGTGCTCGGCATTTCGCGGTAAGCGTGGAGAGTCCCTTCCCCCACGACCTCCCCTGAGAATACCTTGCTCTCTGTCTCCCATCCTGCCGTCTATCCCACTTGGCGCGGCTTCTTTCTTCGAGGTTTCCGCTGAGGTAACCACGCTTCCCTTAGACTTAGGAATTGCACCCCGTTTCGAGAATTTCTCTGGCCCTGAGACATTGGTATCTGGCTCATTATCCTGAAGCCCCCCTTTCTGGTCACGCATGTCTCCGTTCCGCGGGAGCCCCGAGAGAGGCGTTCCGCACTCCAGCACTTCCTGTACTTTTCTCGGCCCTCGCTATCTGGCCCTAGTCAGCCTGTTAACTGCTTCCAAAGGAAACCCTAAAACGTAGCTATTCTAAGGTCCACTTTTCCGGAAATGGTGGCTACTCGGTTGTGAGAGGAAGAGCCGATTCATAATTTCGGGCAGTCAATTCAGCCAGCCAGTAGTTAGACCTTTGATTTGACTCTCCTTGTAGTGGATAGAAAAGCCTAGTTTCCCCAGCGCTGCACTTAAGCTCTCACTTTCATTTCCATTCCTTACCATATCCATCTCTTGCCAAACCCTTTGTGTACTTGAGACCTCTCTATTACACATATCTTAACTCTTAATAGGTCTGTAACTGGTACTGTAGGGGGCCTCCTTATTCCCACTTCCCTTTGTTATTGTTCGGAGGTGGTCCTGTGAGAGAGGGACAACTCTTTGGAAATATTTGCTAGAGTGAAAGGAGATGACAGTATTTTTTTCTTTTAATTGATGTGGACCTAAGGTCTTGTTAAAATTGTTTCTTCTCACCCAGGCATCCTCGAGATGGTGAAGCTGTTCATAGGAAACCTGCCTCGGGAGGCCACAGAGCAGGAGATCCGCTCACTGTTCGAGCAGTATGGGAAGGTGCTGGAATGTGACATCATTAAGAACTACGGCTTTGTGCACATAGAGGACAAGACGGCGGCAGAGGATGCCATACGCAACCTGCACCACTACAAGCTACACGGGGTGAACATCAATGTGGAAGCCAGCAAGAATAAGAGCAAAACGTCCACAAAGTTGCATGTGGGCAACATCAGTCCCACGTGTACCAACAAAGAGCTTCGGGCCAAGTTTGAGGAGTATGGTCCAGTCATCGAATGTGACATCGTGAAAGATTATGCCTTTGTACACATGGAGCGGGCAGAAGATGCGGTGGAGGCCATCAGGGGCCTTGACAACACAGAGTTTCAAGGTGAACCACCCACCCTCTTTGGGAAGAGGGCTGGACACAAGGCTGTATGCAGAAAATAGATTGGATAAGTAAAGGGAGGGGTTTGGGGAGAAATACAGCTGGTGGCTGGCTGATGGTAAAGGATTAAGTGTGGGAGGTGGACCTAAATGGAGAATGCTTGGGATTTAGAGGCTTTACCTTAGGCAAATCAAGACTCTGGGAGAAAAACCACTTGGCTTTAGTTTGGAGCCCATAAGGCTTTTATGCCTGTTAGTGCAGAAATCCTTTTCTCTGAAGATTTGCCCAGTTATGTTGTCTTTGTGGGGGTAGTAGAGCACGTTGCAGTTTTTCACTTTGAATTTATTGCCTCAGTACAGTACAGGCATACCTCGGAGATATTGCAGGTTCAGTTCCAGACCCCTGCAAAAAGGGAGTGTTGCAATAAAACGAGTCAAAGCTAGTTGTAATCTTTTTGGTGGTGGAGGGTCTTGAAAGTAAAAAAGCAACATCTGTGAAGCTTGATAAAGCAAGATATGCCTGTGTCAGAATTAGGCGTTATTTTATATATGAAGAACCTGGCAAAGGCTGCTTCAGCAACACATTTAAGAGTAGAATTCCTGTTAAACTCCTCCACCTCATCACCCTCATAACCTTTCAGTAAAGATAACTAGTCTTTAACTGGTGTCTTTAAAGGGCTACAGTTCTTGGTGCTTATACCAAGAGGTTCTGTTTTGAGGAGGACACTCTACAATTAAAAGGCTGATTTCAGGAGTTTCTGAGGAGGAGGTATTGAGAGGTGGGGTTGGGAGGCAATAATGGCAATGTTTTTTCACTGGTTTGTGGGGGAGGGATGGACTTATTCTTTGGGAATAGAGCACTTAGACGGGTGTTACCTTGAAGCTTCGACTAGATGGATTGTTTTAGTGTGCCTAGAGGACAGCATGAGTGATGCTTTGGACTGCCACTTTATTTGGAACGGATTTTTTTCTTGCTTTAAGATCTAAGCTTCTGTGCCAAGTGTGGCAGTCATGAAGAGGGTGGTAACTATGGTGAGTTGTTAACTCTTCTTTTACCCCGTTTGGGGTCTCCAGTGTTAAAAAAGAGCCTTTTCCCTTTGATGTAACTGCTTCCAAATTGTTGGGTATTCCCACAACTCCCTGCTACATTTTTAACCTACATTCTAACCTTTTAAGTCCAAAGTAAGGTAGTGGCTGCTGCTTTCCCTGAGAACTTCTCTTGTTTAGAGTAATTCCTGCTATCTTTGCTGTCTATTTCCCTTAAATTGGACCTTTTTTAGAGCTGGAGATCTGATCATCATTATCCCATGTAATAGGTGCCTTGTGTCATGGGTATTGCTGTGCATTATTAAGGAGGTGTCATAGGTCTCTAGGGTCTAGTTTGTTTTCCTTTTTGAATTGGTAAGTTGAGAATTATTTTGTGTCAACAACTTAATTGGGAGCGAAGGCTGCTCTTGTGGACGGTTTGTGGTCTGATACCTACATTTTGGAAATCCTTTTATGTGTAAACACTGTTAGAAGAGGTGGTGGTGTCTGCTTATAGCAGTTACATGTGTAAGGGAGGAACAGGGTGGACAGATTTCAGGACAGATCCTTTAGCATTGAACTGTAGGTTCTCTGCTACCTATACTTAGTCATTCTTGCTCTATTTTTCTTATTAACTATTCTCCTTAATACTGTCTAGTAGAGTTTTATATGTATGTAGAGTATCAGTATTTATTAGTGGTCATTTCTTTGTGTTAGGTATACAGCTGACCCTTGAACAATGCTGGGGTTAGGGCCGCTGTCCCACTCCACAGTCAAATCCTAGTATTACTTAAGTTGGCACTCAGTGTAAGTGGATTCCCATCCTCAATTGAAAATACATTTAATTCTTGGACAATACAGGTTTGAATTTCATGGGCATAAGTAGGCCCACACAGTTCAAATCTGTGTTGTTCAAGGGTGAACTGTATTTATTGTCTACCCATTTAAAAGAATCTATTCTATATAGTTTAAAAACTTAGCTTCTATTTCTAGCTTATCTCAGAATAGTTAATAATGATCTTTTATGTCTTGGAATACGCTTGGTTGGTTCCTTGGTTACACTTATTTCCTCTGATTTTGTTAGATGCCAAAGTAGCCCTGTGGGCAAATGCCAGAGGGACACAGGTGTTAGCACTTTAAAGCACTCACATATTTAATTGCATATTTTAACTCTTAACCTGCAACCTACACTTACCAGATGTAATGTTTAAACCAGGACTTTTTTGGTATTTTGGTCCTTCCACTCCTTTTCACTTTTCTAGGCTCCCAGAACCTAACTTTAATTTTGCAGGTGAAATTGTGTATTTACTACTTTCTGTAATGTTAGATGAATAGATGAACCTGTTGACTCTCCTCTGGTTCTAACCATTCCCTTTTTTGACATCTGCATGTTTGGGTGCATCACAACCAGTTGCACTAGAAAGTTTTTGCTGGGCTGTTGCTTACCATTAAATTGGTAGATCATGTTAGGTGGAAACTGCTTCTGTGAAAAGGTTTAAAACTTAAAATTTTCCAGAAAAAAAATTTTTTTTAAATTAGATTTTTAGAAGTGATATTTTGCATTTCTAGAATGCAAATTGTTTTGAGCAAAAAAAAAGTAGTAAGTGCATATTCTTAGAATCTCAGATTCCAGTTTAAGGAGTAAAAGTACTTAATCTTGCTAAAATGAACAGTTAGCTCCACTAACTAGTATTACTGGTTATTCTTCACTTTTCTCACCCCCCCCACCCCTTTTCTCCACGTTTTTTCCCAAATCTTTAAAAAACTGGAGGCATCTTATGAACTCCCTGCCCTGTTTCCTTTGATTCTACTAGGGGTAATCAAAATTGTCAGATTGTCAAGTACCCTTGTTGGGATAAATAGCAGAACCAGCAATTGAAAGGACCCAGTTAAAGAGCGGGCAGTCCTCCAACTTGCATTTCACTCCTCTTCCCCCAGTTCATGAGTGTTATTTCCAAATATCTGAAAATTGCCCATCACACTCATCAAGTCTAGATCACTCTCTGTCAGTGGTAACTTTAGAGTCTTATTCTATTCTCTTTGATTTTGGAGTGGGGTGGAAGTCTGGGGGGACTGACTGGTCTTTGCATTCTCCTGCTTAATGAAATCAGAGTCTTTGATAGTGAGGATTGGAGGTTCCAGAATCTTGTTGAGCAATCTTGCGGTTTCTTTTGACATTGGGCCACTGTTCAGAGTAGTTTTTGTCCACAGTTAGTTGGCAAAGAATGAGATGCTTGTTTTTGCATGAGAGTGGTTTCTTTCTTAAGCATTGAACTAGTGTTAGGTGTTAGAGTGGAAACATTTCTTCATCTAATCTTTGTCTGAAATCAGGTTATTATACTAAATTTATATATTGGACTTTAAAAATAAATCTTTCTGGCATTGAGTCCTGCATTAGCGTTGTCTAGGTAAAGCCACTGCTATGTCCAGTGTCTGGGGTAGGGGCTGGGGCTATGACTAAGAGTGATAGCAACCCTTCTTGCGTCTGTTTCTTCAAGGCAAACGAATGCACGTGCAGTTGTCCACCAGCCGACTTAGGACTGCGCCCGGGATGGGAGACCAGAGCGGCTGCTATCGGTGCGGGAAAGAGGGGCACTGGTCCAAAGAGTGTCCAATAGATCGTTCGGGCCGAGTGGCAGACTTTACCGAGCAGTATAATGAGCAATATGGAGCAGTGCGTACACCTTACACCATGAGCTATGGGGATTCATTGTATTACAACAACGCATACGGAGCGCTCGATGCCTACTACAAGCGCTGCCGTGCTGCCCGGTCCTATGAGGCAGTGGCGGCTGCAGCTGCCTCCGCGTATAATTACGCAGAGCAGACCCTGTCCCAGCTGCCACAAGTCCAGAACACAGCCATGGCCAGTCACCTCACCTCCACCTCTCTCGATCCCTACGATAGACACCTGTTGCCGACCTCAGGAGCTGCTGCTGCTACAGCCGCTGCTGCTGCAGCAGCCGCTGCTGCTGTTACTGCAGCTTCCACTTCATATTACGGGCGGGATCGGAGCCCCCTGCGTCGCGCTACAGCCCCAGTCCCCACTGTTGGAGAGGGCTACGGTTACGGGCATGACAATGAGTTATCCCAAGCTTCGGCAGCCGCGCGGAATTCCCTGTACAACATGGCCCGGTATGAGCGGGAGCAGTATGCGGATCGGGCGCGGTATTCAGCTTTTTAAAGCTTGAGGTGAGAGCGGTGGGGTGTCATGTGTTCTGGTTTTGCCGTTCCTCCTGCAGCCTAAAGGCTCCAGTTAGGCTGCCCTGCTTGCTCGCTTTTTTGCAGGGTTAAGGTAAGGTTACTAGCATGGTTCAGAGGCTAGAAAAAAGTCCTAACTAGTTAACTTTTTGAAATATATAAACATTCTTAGCCCTCATGGCTATTTTTCCAGGGCTCCTGGTAGTGGGGGTCAGTCTGATCCTATCTGTCTGGAAAAACAAAGAATGGTGTGATGAATCTTGGGTCACACCTATGTGCTATAAATGAACTGGACCTGAGACCAGACATTCAGACTTGGGTGTGCTGTTTTTCAGAGCCTTTGTTGAAATTCCTAGGTATGTAACATTACTAAGGTCTGCAAGTTTCCTGTTCTGCTTTGTGCTGTGTGAAAGGTCTGATAATGACCTGTAATGATAAAATCAATAACCGTATAGTTAACTGGTCATCACTGCTCAGGTCCCAGTTACTATGAAGACTACCCAAATGGCATCATCTTAATCTTGAAGAAGCATATTTCTAACATTTCTTAATAGTTTACCCCCTATGAGCTTTATAGAAAATACTTATTTGATGTTAAGTTGGGACAGAGGAGTAGAAAATATATCTTCTTTTAATTCATACATTTGAGTTCAGCAAGGAATCTGGGGCATAGACTTAACCCCAACTTCTCCACACAGCCCTGAATAGTGCGCTCGCTCCATTGTTTTATCTTTGAATCTGTCCTTTAAGAGCCGGTGTACTTTGTTCTACAAACTGTCCCCACGGGGTTAGATTTGACATCCTCTCCACTTCTTTAAGATAGGTAATATGTGTGCACACCTGTAATTTTACTCTAGTAATATTGAAATCCAGGATTGGGAGCTTTGCCTTAAGCCAGTGGTTTTCAACCCATGTGCCACAAAACTTTTTAAAACACGTAATACCTGACTAATCAGGGGCACTGACCTCTTTTCACTTAGATTGTCATATTTAGAAAAGGACAACAGCCAACACAACAATAGTTGTCCAGAGTGAATAAATCAAAAGTATACCTGTGTTTTTTGTTGTTGTTGTTGTTTTTTTCTTTGTCAGCTTGGCGAAAAATAGTTTTTGGTGTGCCACAGAATTTTAGTAATTAGTTTGTGTGCCTGTCATGAGATGAAAAGGGTTGAAAATCGTTGCCTTAAGCAGATCACTCTCTTTATCTTCCCACTAGTTATGGGCATTTAATCCTCTTGAACAACCAGCTCTACCTTGAGTCCTCTGGCTTTTTCCTGTACTCCACATTTTGAGCCTCATGATCCATTTGGCTCTACTTGAGTATATTCTTTTCTGATGCTTGCCAGCTTTGGGCTCTAGGTGTTTGAGATTGCTGTTGTATTAAAGGGTGATTCTTAATGCCCTTTGTTTTGAGTTTCCCCCAGTGTGTCCCAGACATTGATTCAGAAGCCTGTAGTTAACAGGGTGGGTGATACTCCATCATCTTTTCTGTTAGGGAAAAAGGTATGTAGGATGCCTAGGGTTATTAGATAGGAAATCACTCAGGGCTGGAAACGAAACTTGGTATGTAGTTTACATTTGCCCTCCAGTACATTCTTTTAGTTTCTTCGCTAGGCAGAAGTGGATGTCAGCAGGTCTTACAGCTTGTTGAGTTGATGCTGCTTTTGCTTAGATTTTGAATGGGTTTTTAAACTTGGACCTTGTTAGTAACTCCCAGATTCAAACATAGTTTTTACCCCCGAGAGCTAATTGGAACCTTCCCCATTTCCTGCTTTCTACATTACAGTTTGTGATGTGGTATTACCTTCTCTGAGGAATGCTAATGTTAATATCAAGGGAAATGCAATGTCTTTGCCTACTCTCATGAAGAAAATTTGCAATTTATTTTTGTTATTCCTTACTCGGATATTTTTCCATTGATTTTTAGATAGAGTGGAAGGGAGGGAGGAAGGAAGGGAGAGAGAGAGAAACATCAATGAGAGGGAGACACATCGATTGGTTGCTTCCCACAGGACCCCAACCAGGGCTGGGGATCAAACCTGCAACCCAGATACGGGCCCTTACCCAGCAATTGAACCCGTGATCCTTTGGTCTGCAGGCTGACGCTCTAACCACTGAGCCAAAATGGTCAGGGCTACAATTTAATTTAAAGAAAGGTCCCAGTCTGGGATTGTTTGACCTTCCCAATTACTCTCTGGCCTTCTTGCTCTTTTCACTTTTTGAGGTTATTGTGACATTGTAGATGGATACAAGTAATGAACTTTACCAAAGTCAAGTTACCAGACTTTGTAGAGATGTTCTTTGAAGTTTTAAGTGGGAAAGCCCTTTTGAGCTTTGCTGTAAAGCCCCTGTATTGTGCTCTCTTTCAGGTGGGATATGTGTGGGCTGAAATTCCAAGCTGCGGTTGTGCATGAGAATACACTCTTCATGGTACCCCATCTCCGGGACGTTCTCGGCTCTGTGCGTTCAGTCCCTCAGGAATCGTGGACCTTAATTTACCTTGCTAAGTTCAGACCACCTTTTCCTTCCCTCTCTCCTGCCCATTTTCCTGTTCTTCCTGTCCTTCATTACTTCTGTAGTTTCCCATTCATGTTCTGTTCTCCTAGCAGGCCTCGTTGTGTGCAGAAACTGTGGTGGGGGCTACGTCGTCTCCCCACCTCCTGCTTCCAGTGGGTGTTGGATTTGGGAATGAACCTGGTGAGAATATCACTGCTTCTGAGTCTTTGGCCCAAAGGCTTGTGGCAGGTGGACACAAAAAGTTGGATCACTTTTTTTCTTTCCAGTAAAATAAATGGTTTTTCAACTTAGGATCTGTGTGCTTTGAGAGAGTTCTTGCTTGGGCTCATTTCTGGGTTCTTTATTTGTCCCTGGAAGAGATGGGGAGGATGCAAAGTTTAACATTCAGTTCTGGGTGGACATCACTGTGTTTATTTTCTTTATTGTAGATCGACTTAACAGGTGCCAAAGGAAAAGAAGGGTTATACAGAAGAACCCAGGCAGGCAGCCTTATTCCAGTAAAGACTTCCTTCCATTGGTCCACCATTGTTACAAAATAAATTACTAGTAGTTTTAAGATTAAGTATTTTCCTGCGTGAGAAATAGTCATGACCCACTCTTTACTACTACCATTCCAAACTCCCAATCAATACATCTAGTTGGAGTTATTTCCAAGGAAGAGGTCTTAAGAAAAGGAAGGGTTTTAGGAAGCACTTTAAATTGTGGCTCCAACAGCATTCTACTTCTCTAGGCCGTAAGTAGCACTTTTAAATACCTTTCACCATCTATTTGTATAGCTCTGACAAAATCTAAAGAATCCTACTAGGACCTCATTACTTGTATTTAAGCCTTTAGAATGATTGCATAGAAAAATGACCCAGCATTGAGTTTTAGATTATTTAACAATGAGGATGGATTGGTGAGTGCAGGGAAGAGCTACGTCTTAGCTCTGTGCTTCTATGAAAACATACTGTCTTCCAGATTTTTTTTGGTCTATACTTTCCTGCTCTAGTTTTAACATTTATAATAGTGCAGTGTTTAATTAGCGCACATCCCAGAATCATTCAATAAATACTGAGCACCTACTGTATGACAGGTGATACACTTTTAGGAAAAGTGGATTGTGGTGATGGGAGATAAGAAGAAGGAGCTGGACTTTAGTTGGGTGATTTCTCAGATTATTCTTTACTTCATTCTTCTACCTGATTCTTTCCAATTCATAGATGGCCTAGATGGGAATACCTCTGTATCAGTATAACTTGTAATTTACTGAATATTTGTTCTATGTGAAACCTTGTGATAGGTGTTTCATGTGTTAATACGTTTTTCTGTCAATGACAATCTTACTCTACCCTCAAGATACAAATAATCGCTGAACATGGAAGCTGTCTTTGGTGAGAGGTCAAATGATTAAGATGATGGTTCTAGAAAAACTTGGAGTTAAGAGGATTGGGGGTGGGAATAGTTATTCCTATTGGTAGGAAGTGGTCAGTGACTAAGATTATGACTAACATCTAGGCTAGGCACTTAGCTTGCATTTGCTGCTATCATCTTGGTTTGGTTGATTTTCTACCACTTTTTTGGGGGGGGGGGTTATGTCTGCTTTGGTCCCTTTTTCTCTTAAAAGACAGACCCATCACAGATCTAAATTTTTATTGATACACCCCTTGGTCTGATAGGTGGGATTAGCAAGTTTTAAAAGATGGAGACTAACAGTATTGATTGATGCAACAAATATTTTGAGTGATACTCTGTAAGGTGTTCTAGGTGCTGGGGATACCTATAGTTCTGGAGCTTATGTTCTAAGAGGGAAGACAATATTAAAGAGAATATTTCTTAGATGGGAACGGTCAGTTAAGACTTTTCTGAGGTGATGACATATTGTAGTAGATTAAATGTGGGTGTAATACATAATTTCATGATGAAACATTCTATTTGAAATATTAAAAGGGGCCATTCTTTCTGCTTTAAGAGTATATGGTCTCCCTGTAACAGCCTAAGAGCAGTTTTTCATGACTGCCAGAATCTGGGCTGGTCTAAAACACATTTTTATAATAGCAGTTTAAAAAACTAGTTACTTGTCCGCCCTGGCTGGTTTGGCTCAGCGGTTAGAGCATCGGTCCACAGACCAGTGAGTTGCAGGTTCAATTCCAGTCAAGGGCACATTACCTTGGTTGCACTTCGTCCCGGGCCCTGATTGGTCGTGCTTGAGGCAACCAGTCTGTGTGGCTCTGTCACATAGATTTTTCTCTCTCCTCTCTCTCTCCTTCCCTCCCACTCTATCTAATGATAAATGGAAAACTATCCTCAAGTGAGGAATTAAAACTCAACTAATTACTTGTTAAAGAGAAAATACTTATGGAAAAACAGTGAATTCTAAAACTTGATTAGAAACCATTGAATTTAACTTCCTGGTATTTCAACATTACGTTTTTTGAAATTATTTTGAAGCTTCTAATCAAATGTATCTCTGAGTTGAAGCCACAAAGTCTATGCTGTATAACTGACAGTAATACTGCCATCACTTAGCTCAAGTTATACAATTTTTCAAGAACAATTCTTTATTTAAATACACTGATTTTTCTGTAGCCTTTCACCATTAATTCTCTTGAGTTAAATGTGTTTCACATTCACCTTAGAGCTGGCTTTGAACTTAATGAAATACTACTCACTGGCTGCCTACTGTGTGTCAGTACCATGTGGAAAATGCAAAGATGAATAGGGCATGGTGCCTGTCCTTGCCCTACCTCCACAACAACTTTCTGTTTAGGCCTTGGGTATGCAAATCATGGGTGTGTCACTGGAAGTCAGGCAGGGTGGGAATGGTCACACTGCTGTTGTGATGGCATCTGGCCCAGCCTGGTTCTGGATGGGTAAAAGGTCTTAGGAGGGTAGTTTTCAGGATTTTGGGGTTTGACTTTCTGTTGGACCACTTAATGCTGACTTAAAAGTCTTCTAGGCCCTGACTGGTTTGGCTCAGTGGTTGAAATGTTGGCCTGTGGACAGAGGGCTCGTGGGGTTTGATTCCTGGTCAAGAGCATTACCTGGTTGCAGGTTCTACCCCTGGCCTCCACCTTGGCCCAGGTCGTGGGGGAGGCAAGCCAGTCGGTGTGTCTTGCTCACATCGATGTTTCTCTTACTCTCTAAAAATCAATGGGAAAATATCCTCGGGTGAGAATTAGCCAAAAAAAAAAAAAAAAGTGGTCTAGGCATCTTCAATTGGTGTTGACCTGAGTGAATGCTAGATTAAACCTGGCTTCTTATGCCTGGTTTAATGTTGCACCAGGGGTCAGAGTAGTAAGGTATACTCTGCATTGTGATATTAAGTGCTATTGCAAACCTACTGGAGTAAAGTTTGCTCAGTGCTAAGAGTTCTCCAAAAAGTCTTGTGCAGAGGCAAATAGAATTCCCAGAATAATGGTAGTGGGAAGCTCCAGGACTTCTTTTATGCTGAGGGCTTGGAGAACTGTATAGGTTGAAGCAGGAGAAAGTAGATGTCTCCAAGACAGAATTAAAATATTCCTGTATATAAATTGAGGGAATTTTGGTTTGTTTGAAGAATTCACAGCTGAATTACTGATAAATACATGGAAAGCAAATGAAGCCCTCGCCAGTTTGGCTCACTGGTTAGAGTGGCGGCCAGTGGACTGAAGGGTTTCAGGTTTGATTCCTGGTCAAGGACACGTACTTGGGTTGCAGGTTCATATCCTCGATGTGTGTCTCACATCAATGTCTCTCTCTATGCTCTCTTGCTCTCTCTCACCCTCCCTCTCTCCCACTCTATCTAAAAAAAAAAAAAAACAATGGAAAAATATCCTCAGTTGAGGATTAACAACAAAGAAAGGAAATAGTAAAGCCCTGGCCAGTTTTGCTTAGTAGTTAGAGTGTTGGCCTGCAGAGTGAAGGGTCTTGGGTTCAATTTCTGGTCAAGGGCATGTGCCTGGGTTGCAGGTTCCATCCCTGCCCTGGTCAGGGTCATGTGGGAGGTAGCCAATCTATGTCTGTCTGTCTTATTAATGTTTTTCTCTCTCCCCCTTCCTCCCTCCCACACTCTAAAAATCAATGGAAAAATATCCTCGGGTGAGGATTAAAAATAAAAAGAGCCCTGGGTAGTTTGGTTCAGTGATTAGAGTGTCCGCCTGTGGACCAGAGAGTCCTGGGTTCGATTCCTGCTAGGGGCACAATACCTTGGTTGCAGTTTGTCTCCAGCCCCGGTTGGGGTTGTGTGGGTGGCAACCAGTCGATGTGTTTCTCTCACATCCATGTTTCTCTCTTTCCCTCTCCCTCCCGCTGTATCTGAAGATAAATGCAAAAATGTCTTCGGGTGAGGATTAAAAAAAAAAAAGTAAAAAGAAAAAGGGATAAAACTCAAGAGTAAACAAAAACTTGTAAAATATAATTATGGGGCTCAACCTTGTTATTAACATGACCACACTGTTTATTATTATTATTTTTTAATCCTCACCCGAGGACATTTTTCAATTTTTTTGTTCAGATAGAGTGGGAGGGAGGGAGTGAGAGAGAAACATCGACGTGAAAGGGACACACCGAGTGGCTGCCACCCACACAACCCAACTAGGGCCGGGGACAAACCGCAACCGAGGTATGTGCCCTTAGCGGGAACCGAACCCCGGTCTCTCCGGACCGCAGGCCGACGCTCTAATCGCTGAGCCAAACTGGCCAGGGCGATCACACTATATTTAATAGAATAATCGTCTAACTAAATATGGAGAATGGGGAAGTGTGGATGGGTGAGTAATAAGGTATGTTTAGGAGCAAAACTTAAACTCCATAATAGAAGTCAATAAAGAATTTTAAAAAGTAAGTGAGAATTATGAGCATCTTATTCAGACATGTAAAGTTAAGGCACAGCTAAGAAAATCTAAAAGTCATTGCTTCTGGGGAGGATGGGGCAAGAGATGAGAGAAAAGGGACTTGATAGCCTTGTACTATTTGCTTTGTTAAGCCATGTCCATGGGTTATTTTGATACTAAGTAAGTTTTGTCATGCTAACTGTTCTCTTTTTTGTCTTAAGCCTTAGATTATGGCTTAATGTTCAGTGAACTTTCTAACTTCTTACCAAAAGCAAACCATCTATCGAGACTAGGGATTTATACTTTGTTGGCAGGTAAATGGCACCCCTGAGATAGAAGGCAGGGATGGTGCTAGCAGTCTGTCAAGGAGGTAAGATACTAAAGGAGGAGGAAGTGCTTAGCTAGTGCTAACTAAACCTTAAAAGCTGAATTGTTTTATTACTGCTCCTGTTTCGGCTAACTTGTCAAGTCCAACAGAGGGAAAAACAGTGCTCTGTG